GGGGGGGGGGGGCGGACCACTAAACCACTTCTTCAAATAAAAACCCATGCAGACTACCCTGATATAAAACTAAAGTGGAATTGCTCTGGCTGCAGCAAAGATTGGAAGTATCCAGAGTCCCACCCTGAACTTCCTAGAACCCTACTCCCAAGGTTACCACAGAAGCATTTCCAGTGAAAAGCCCTGCAGAAATACGTAAGTGCTATGGTGTGCAGGAAAAGCAATAAATGCAGTAGGAGTTCAGACGAAGTGCAAAATTGCCAAGAGTAACTAGTGGAGGATCTGTGGAAATTAGACTTAAGCTGAACCTTATGTTGAGGATATGGAAATAAAGGAGAAAAATGGAAGGCATTCCCGGTGGGAAACATGAAGATACAGAGGTAGAAATCAAAGGACAGCAGGGAGTGTAGAGAGTGCCAATAATAAGACACTAGCCTGACTGAGGCACAGAGTACTTATTGGCTAAATAGGCGACAATAGTACAGGATCTTACAAATCTGGCAAAGCAGTTTTGATTTGATTAGGCAGAAAGCAGGAGGCTACTTCAGGTCAGGAGAACAGTGCCAATTGGAAAGGAACTGCAGAAACAGCCTCCAGGATACTATCAGGGAGTGTGCCTTCAGCTGAGAAAGATATTTTGGTGAGTGGCAGTGTATTTTAACCATAAACTTAAAATATGAGTTCACTTGGAGACAAATTGAAGTTCATCCTTCTGCAAATCTTGTGGAAACAGACAGGCAGACTACTGACCCCAGGACAGTTGTTTGTTTTTATACCAACTTCTATAAAATGGTAACTTAATTCTACCTCTGCTTTTGTTTATGTCCTTCAACTGAGTGTGGTGAAATGAACAAGAAACTACAAGTGAAAAGACCTGGGTTTCAGTCCCCATCTTGTTCACTAACTGGCTGTGTGTAACCTTGAGCAAAGCCATCTGTTTGAGCTTCAGATAAGACTAGATCAGTAGCCCTTAATTGGAGGTGATGGGCCCCCTTGAGAATTCAGTGAGAACTATGGACCAATTCCCCTAAGAAAAATATGTAAAACATTACACACAATTTCAGGGGATTCATGAGTTCCCTAAAATGTACCCATGAACCCCAAAGGATGACACCAACCCTGAACTAAGAATTTCTGGCCTAGATGATTTCCCGGGGCCCTTCCTACTTCACATTTTATGATTTACCCTACCTAAATATTGTTTTCTCAGTCTCTCTCACAAGTCTGGTCATTCATTTCTTCGAGATAAGTTATGATCTACATCCCCTTGTTTAACTGACAGACCAAGGGCTCAGTTGTATGCTATAATGTCTTATTAAAGAAAACATTTTAAAAAGATAAGGTATATCAAGTGTCTGTCACAGTGCCTGGTCCTCAACATGCAAGATCCCCTCTAGTAATCCTTTCCTTCATCAGACATTTTGTGACTACTCAAATCCACAAATCTTTCCATTCTCTAAATTCCTTCATCACTTGAAATGTCTACCACTCATTCTGATCCTTGATTGTGCCATCATTTCCAAATATCTAAGCACCCAAACAGATCAGTAGTTCTCCACTCTATCAAATCCAACACCTCTTTCTTACACCAAATATTTTATAACACTACTTAATAAACCTTAAAGGATAGTAATAGATAATAACCCACCTACACACATAATTTTTAAAATTCCTTACTGGTATTATAAAGGAGTATCAAAAAGAAATTAATTCAAAATAAAATAATACTTATTTCAACATACATATTCTCAGGGACAATACTAGAAAACAAACAAAAGTCTCTAATTGATGAAGTGCCCTTAAGAGGTGAGTACAACTTGAGAAATTGAGAAAGTGTCAGACTAGGGGCTGAATACATATAAAGAAGTAAAAGACAGCTTTTGAAGGGCTTTATAATCTAGTTGGATTTAAACTGTACTGTATGTTTTTTAGTCATTCATGTTGTTATATACAGTTAATCTGTTATACATGTTTGTCTTAAGCCTTGGAGGTAGGGAAGTGTCTTCTACTTAAATCCTCATAGTATAGAGACACATACATGTACACACACACACACACACACACACACACACACACACACACGGCAGACCTCAAAGTACATTCAGGTGAGGAGACACCAGAGAGATCATTTAGTCCAGACGTTTTCAAATTCTTTCTAGTGGTAGTGAGGGTCATCCATTTGAATATAATTTTATATGTACATGAAAATACAAATATAGTCAAAAGTAAAAGCAGAGCTGCTTTGTATAGTTTTGAGCAGTTAATACAAAGATGAGTAAAACATGCCCTGCATTCTTTGTATGCATGTATGCATGTACATGTGTTCATATACAGGGTATCCTAAAAAATGTATACATACTTTAACAGCTGGTAGCTCAATTTTGAAAACGAAACATATTTTAATAAACACTGCCTTAATAATTATTCAAAGTGTGTGTATATATTTTTGGGGATACCCTACATATGGGAAGGGGCAGGGGCATCAGTTCACAAATATATAAGATAGAATGTGATAAATCCCATAAGAGAAACAAGAATAAAATGCTAAAGATATTCAAAAGGCAGGGGGAGTGCATCCACTTTTGGAGAAAAAGAGAAGAGGGAGAAAGTAGAACCATCCGGAAAGGTTTCACAAAAGAACATAGCATTTGAAGTGGGTGTGAAGGATGCCTGTGTTTTCAAAAGGAAAGGGTAATGATTGGGAAATGAAGACAGTTTGATCAGAGAGAACAAATAGATGAGCAAATGAATGCAGCAGAACAGTACAGGATGTATCAGAAAAGCAGCACGTAGTGTAGCAGATGCTTTAATGCTCTCTGTACAAAGTGCTGTTTCACTTTTATGATCCAAAGCAAGAGGAAAATTGAATTATTCCAGAGTCAACTTCACTAGATTACAACTATACACTGACAGACACATGCATATGACAATTTGGTGACTCAAGATTAAGCACCCTGCTATTATATTAAGGGATGTTCTCTAAAGAGAGAACATCTGATGTCCTCTTGGATGGTAAATGGGCTGAAATTAGTTAGGAGATTTGGATTCTAACCTCAGTGTCTGCTATGAAGTGTGACTTTGAACAAGTTATGTGACCTCTCACTGAAAAGCTCTGTATAAGCGCCACCATATGTAAAAGAGGAATACTGCTTCTCGTAGCTACTGCATGGTTTTGTTGGTGGCATCCTTCATTTTATTCAGCTTAAATTCCATGGGCAATAATAATCAGTCCCTGGAATATACTCTCAATAATCTTGCCTCTCTCTTACTTTGTTGTACTTACTGGACTAAACCATGACTTGATTAAATCCAGTCTCCACCCAATAGGCACCTGTATGCACACAGTTGAATTTGACTGGACAAAAACCTGACTATGCTGAATTTCCCCCTTTAAATCTGTAATTGCTCCCTCAAGTGGGCCATACTGCACTGCACTAATCCATGCACTGGCCCACTCTCCAGGGTTGCATGCCTTTTTCTCTCTCTCCAGGCCACCAATATTCCCCCTCCATCCTTACTCTCGGATGCTAACCTGGCTTACTATTTTGCTGAGAAAACTAAGGAAGTCTGAAGAGAACTTTCACAGGCTCCCATGGCCCACCACTGTGTCTACCCACCTACTAGCATATGTAGCCTCATGCTCTTTTCACTCCTGTGACTACAGATGAACTGGTGATGCTCCCAGGTAAGGCCACACCCTTCACCCATGCAGGGCACCTTGTCAAGCTATAAAAACCTGGAGGTGCTGCTCTCCCATTTCATCCCTTGCTCTCTTGCCTCATTAATGTCCTGCTCTTCTGAATTGCTCCCATAGGCATTATAATGGGCTATTATTTCCTTCATCTTAAAAACCATTCCCTGATTGCTGACGGAGGACAAACTGGGAAGAAGCAACCAACATGCCATGCTAAGGAGTTGGTGGTAAACCACTAAATTTTGTAATGAAGGGAGTAATATTATCAGA